TTTACACTTTTTGCCTATACCTTTGTTTCTTTCATTTTTTCATACCCGTGTGCTTAGATAATTTTATCGAATTTGATACAAAACTCAAGCATACCGAAACTCTTTTACCTTTTAATGGTGTGCACGCGTATGGTGTATTAGATGCTCACTAAAAAAGGGGAGGCAAATCCGCGCGCAATTACTTATAGCTTGTGTGCGCGTAGATTGATTTTTAATCGCGCCGCGTTTACGGCTCACAATCTTTTTTTTTTTTTTACTTAATCGATATATTGGTATCAATTATTCGTGCAAATCGGCCGCGATTGCGTTCAGAATTAAAAACATTAAGCCGCGCAAAGTGTAAAGCAAAAAATGCTAATTATCGGCTCGATAAGAGTCGAGCGCTGCTCCACTCATACACTTGTGTAGATTTCATAATTTTAAATGTATAAGTAAAGGTGCTTTGACTGAATGAATCCTGTCGTCCTAATTTGCCAAGCTAAAGTTGGCAACTTTCAAGAATTTCGAAATAATTCATAAAAATTACTGGTTCAAGCTTGTTGCCTATAACTTGCTCTTTTCTGATCTTTTTTTTTCTCTTTCCATAAGTATACATACATATTCGAAATGGTGGGTATTTACTTTCAATTCTGCTACTATTTGAGCTGATTATTGGATTTTTATTAGCGAATTTAACTATATTAAACGTTAAAATCGTCATAATTATAGCTCAAACACAGTGAAAAATTTTCGAGCTATATTTATACGTAATCTATATCGTATTACTAGAGCATTTAGTTGATTCTCGCAAAATCTGTTTATTTAAGGGGACACATACACGTTAAACGCAAAATTTTTTTTATTGCTTTATTGAGTAGGATTTTTCCGTCCCTTTCCATTGCTTTTTTCGAAATTCCAAAATTTTGATTTTACCCTGAGATACAGCTGTTTCCGTGAATCCTTTTCCTATACTTTACGTGTTAAATTTTTTCTTCTTTTGCGTTTTCTGGAGTGTAGTGTTTTTGGTCATCTATCGTAACTTTCAGAGGGTACCGATTGAGTTTTCTGCACCAGGGTCGCGTACACTTCTTCAGAACATCAATGGTTACGGTCGCTACCTCGGATGAGACGATCGAACGGGTAGATTGCTTTGCATGAACAGTTAAGCACACATTTTTTTCCATTTTTCGTATTTACCGAAATTTAAGTCATAAGAAGAAAAAATTTAACACGTAAAGTATAGGAAAAAAGTTCGCGGAAACAGCTGTATCTCAGGGCAAAATCAAAATTTTGGAATTTCGAAAAAAGCAATGGAAAGCGACAGAAAAATCCTACTCAATAAAGCAATAAAAAATTTTTCGAGTTTAAGGTGTATGTGTCCCCTTAAGTATTGAAAATGAAAAATGGGGAAAATTTTTTTTTCACATTGAACGGTGATTATTTTTATTTATATATTTTTTTAAACCATTAAATATGAGTTATCATTGAATCTGGGGTCTAGAGATTTTGTTTTTCGAAAACTAGCTCCCATTATATGCTTAAAATTGACTATTTTCGGTTACGGAGGTGACACACACAGAGTTGACAAATCGCTACTTTAATCAACTGTGTTTGAAGAATAAGACATGCCCAAAATTTTCTTTACGACCCGAAATTTGGTCATCAAAAACGAGTTTAAAGATGGTGTGACTGATCAAAAAGAATTATTTTATCATGAGATTTTTATGTCCATGGAGGTGACAGTTTTTTTGAAACACTACAATTTTCCAATAGAATAGTTATCGATGCATAGCTAAAATGTACAATTTTAATCGTCAACCGATTCTAATCGAAAGGGTCATAAAATAACTTGATAGTCAAGGACATCAAAAATGATTTGGTGGCACAAAGCAGGCGTCGTTTGAAATTATTCAGAAGCATGATTAAAATTAAAAATATTTTTCAATTGTGTGGGAATTTTTTTTAAACATTTTTCAAGGCCCTGTGATACACTTAAACTTTGCTTTGGATGTATAGAACGTGGTGTCATAGTTATTATAGGGCTAGGTGCTTATGAAAATGCATATTATATGCAAATAGAGTTGATTTTGAGGACAAGCCACGGAGGTGACCGTTGGGATGTATATCTCCTCGGCAAATGTAACTGGCACTAAAAATTGAAATATTTATGTCCAATCAGAAAGAATACAATAATATCGAATGAACGACCAATCCAGATTTAGCTTATCTTCACTAGTTTAAGAACATGGCATGTAGACAAGCAAAAAGCAGATTTCGGGAGAATCAACCATTTATGTAAATTGGTGATTGGTGATATCGACGAAAATGATACCTTTTGAATCCCTTAAATGGTTCTGAAAAAAATCATTGATTTATGGGTGAGCGAAGGCAAGTTATTGTTTTCCAACAAATAAAATAAAAAGTTGCACACGGGAAAAGCTGCAGACATGAAGTGTAATAATTTTTGATTAAAACGAAAATTTTTCCAATTTGAAATAGACCTATCTGGTTGAGCAAAAGCATCAAAAAGTTTATTTGATCGGTTTAGAATGTACCCTCACGCTGAAAAGACGATTTTTCGAACTTTAAGAATCGCCATGATGTAAACGCGATTTCGAAAATTTTTACAAAAAGGGAACCACCCTAATCTATACACAGTGTCTACTTTAAGGTACAAGGGTCAGAATAGATGAGTAGAATTTCTATCCTTAATTCTAGCATGTTTAAAACGACTTAAGTCTATTTTCCCAAGTACTCACAAACAACTTGAAACGCATTTTTTTCGAAAATACAAAAAGTAACTTAAATCGTTTTGCCTTACCATCACAGATTTATACCCATGAACTTAAATAATGATGCTTAATTGATATTGAAGCTTATTCGCTTGCAGCATATTTTATCTAGCTACACTTGTCAGATAAAACAGTAGATTTTTTCCAGATGTGCGGGTTTGTCATCGAAATTCATTGCAACTTCATAATTGGTCACAAGTAAAAAACATTGAAATACTTGACTTGTTAGATTGCGTGCAAAAAAAGATGTCCAAACGAATAAGAGACAAACTTTAATGTTAAAAGCAGGTTTCACAAAACAATGTAAAGAATCAAAGTTCAATTGCATCATGATCTGCATGTACATAACATAAAGATTCCCAATGATACAGTCAAGTGCGTTTTTCTAATTTAGATATTTTGCAATCGCGTGTACGCGTACTCGTTCTCACTCTTTTTTCTTTCTGTGTACACACGTATGCACAAATTTATATAATATCCAGCAAGAATTCATAAAGACTTGGCATTAAAACCTCGACTCGATGTACAGAGCGTTAACAACCGTGCGTGCGAGGAGAATAATAGACGATAAGAGCAGAGACGGCAATAAGAGAGAAAGATGCAGATGAAAAGAGTCGAAAAAGCACCAAGCAAGGGCATAGAGTCAGCAAAAAGGGGAGCTTTAATTATTTCCGCGCGTTCCGTGCATCTCTCGGCGGATGAGGCTTGCGCAGCCTAAGCTTCTATAGAAGCTTTATATACGTTACGTTACGTTACGTACGTTATATATAACGTGCCAGTGACTCGCTATCCCACGCTCAACGCGACTACTACATGCCGGCTTACCAAACGGAAATTGCCCAGGTCTGGACGTCCGGCGCTAGAGTTTGGTTTTAGGGCCGTTATGGCGTCATACATTGCGCAGCTGTCCATGCCTGACGTGACACAGACCTTTTCTACTGCGCACCTTGCTCTGGCCTACTCTCCTGCTACTGTTGTGTATTTATTGCGCGACAATTGTACTCGTATGCACACAGACATTGTGCAAGCGCAGTACGCCATATTCTCTTCCCCTCTTTTTTTCCCCTCTCATTCCTATTTTTTCACGTCCGCTTCTTCTCCTCGCTCCAAGTCCGTGTGAAAAATATTTACTGCAATTTTTGGACTCTTGCGCCAGTGGCTTTATGATACATATCGTACACGTATCGAATTTTTCTCTCTGCTTTTTGGCAAACGAGTCACGAAAAGTTGACTGCTACTCTTTCGAACTCTGCTGGCCAAGGAATTTGGCTCGCTGCTGCAGTGCATCTATGCATGAGCAGCAGTATACGCACATATATAAAAAAACTTCATACGTGTGTTTATGCAAACCTGAACGGTTTAAGTATCTCTAATCGAGAATATTTCGTGTTAAGCTAAATTTTTCCATCCCTTTTATCCCTGCTCCTTTTTTCCTCTTTCTCTCTTCTTTCGCCTCTAACATTAGAAAAAATGTACCCACGGTATCTTACGAATTACTCTGATTGGTACGCACGTGGTTTTGTAACAATTATTTTGCGATAAACGGCAAAATATCACAACTTTTCTTACTCTAATTCTCTTTCTAATAATCAGCTAGCTGAAAAGCCCAGGAGCAAAGTTTTCAAACTCAGTCAATAAAAAGAGAATAATTTATACATTCTGCAATAATTTTCACTTTATTGTGAACGCGTCTTTACACCTATAAAAATAAAAATAATTTGCGAGGGAAAAACGAAAAAATCTCGCGATAAGTCTTTACTGACGAAAGTAACATTGCACCTGAGAGTTTATTACAATTATTAACTTAAAATGTGAAGTCGATATAATTTCGACTGCTTTGACTAATGATTTATCCCATGAATGAGAACTTACTTTAAATTTTTTTCTCTCTCTCTTTTTTGCAATCACATTTGTTTTTTGCAAGGGTTAATTCTTGATGATAAAAAACAATGCCATTGTTGCCAATTGTAAGAAGTTTTAGTCTTATCGTGTACTAGTGATATTACATATATGTCAAGCATTTTTCTTTAAAGTACTGCTGAAATTATCCAAAGTCTTGAACTCATATACTCATACATACACATACCCACACACATTCAAGCACACGTATACTCTCATATTAATTTTCACGAATATCAAACATGTGACATTTTTGAGAAATCTCAGAAAAAATGTGAAGGGAGGGTATATTGATGTTATGTGATTGAGGTTTGAATGAAATTCGGTTAGGGCTTGTAAGTGGCGGAATTCACGAGAAGAAGCTTCTGAACGATCTACTGGACTCATACAACGTCCTGGAACGCCCGGTCCAAAATGAGTCCGAGCCCCTACGACTGAGCTTCGGCCTTACGCTTATGCAAATTATTGATGTTGTAAGTTTATCACAAAAAGTAAAACATTATTGAGCAAGTCCAGACAAAACCAGATAAAAGTTTTAAGATTGTATTTTTTTGAACAGTTTTCCATCCTTTAATTACCCTTACCTTTCATAGAGTAATTGTTATCTTCATATGTGACTAAAAGAAACACGCAATTATGATGAACACAAAGTATAAAACAAGGCTTTTTATATGCCTCGTGCGTGTTTTTTTTATCTTTTTACCAACTTTTTGTTATGTGTTTTGAATATTTATACTTATGTATATATTTTTTGTTTTGTTTTATTTTTCTATTCATACACTCCTCTTTTTTAGTAATTTTTTCTTAGTAGTATATCTCCTTCTTTTTTATCTAGAACTATTTCCATACTTTTTTTTAAAAAAAAGTTTACAAAATTCAAGTAATTAAATTCTTGATAATAATTTCTGAGTAATTGAAGTAACTTCATCTTATGCAAACTCTTACTTCATTAACCGTTGTTCAGAGGTTGTTCAGAGAAATATTCAGTTTTTTCATTTTTGATGAAAAGATTGTATTCTATTCAACGGATATTGGAATAAACCGATTGAAAATTATCACACTCAAAAATCTAAAAGTACTTGTTCAAATCATTATCAACAGTTGATTCAGCTGAAAATTTCTCTCAATCAACGACTTTCTGTGCAAATGAAAAAAATACAGAAAAAAATAACAGCTCGACCTATCTTGTTTTCTCTTCAATTTAAATTACTTGTTTTCTTTTCATTTTGTAAGCTGTCCATGAACACATAAACATTTTTATATTGTAACGCATATCAAAATACTTTAATTGTTTGTCACTTTTTGAAAATCTAGAGAGCGAGTTAACTTTTGTTTTTAGCCCATCCTGTCAGCTGAATACTTTTACATCATTTGTATTACTTTCTTTTTCATTTTTTTTTCTCTCGGGTAACATTTGCACCAGCTTTTTCACGCGAACAATTCTTCACAAGGTTTTCCGATATTTTTTTGCAGAGGGCGATATGAATCACTCTCTGCTCTGAGAGTTTTTTCCGCCTCGTTCAGTTTGCTGCTCTGGCCAATTTTTCCTCCATTATCGAAATTTAATTTCATTTATTCATATTTAATTTCAATGCACGGAATCGTCGCGAGTATCCGCAAGCAAAACTGCACATGCAAGCTCAAAACCCGTAAAATTTAAACTATTGCCTGTCCTTGTGAATTATTCTTTTTTGCTTATTTATAAAAAAATTACTGGCTTTCAAGTATTTCTAATAAAATTTATACTTTCACTTGCTCTACGAGTATGTCAGCGTATCGATATTTCAAAACTTTTATAAACTATATTTTCTCTCTTCATCTAGTTTTTTCAGCTAACTTGTTGTATTTGGAAAAACACTTAAAGAATTCAAAATACATCATGTATTTTAGAAATAATTTAATTTTGAGATCAATTGGTACAAGAATAAAGTGAGCAAAGTAATTGTCAATTGATATAGCATATTTGAGTCATTAATATTTATCTCAACTGACAGAAGTTGTTTGAAATTTATATATAATTACTCAAACTTATTGGTAAAGTAAAAATATACATACCTCAGAAAAAATGTACACGAAAAAAATTTATTTTTTCGTAAATTCAATGATTTACAAATCTTCATTTTCAAATTTTATTTTAATATTAGATTCAGTGCTGTCAAGATGCGAACAGTCATATTATTCATTCATCTTGTTTAAGTATTATTGTTTGTTAATATTATTATTTATTTTATCATGCACGCACATTAAATAGTAATATACCATTGAATTCTACGACTCAAACCCTATCTTTCCAATCCTATATGCCAAAAAGGCCTAATTATCGAGAATCGTGGTGACTTTTTCAGTATAGGTAGAGTTCATGCCCCACAATATAAGGGCACTTCACTTTTTAACGTGCGTACACGATAAAAAAATGTACAAGTAATATTTAGATGACCTGTTCGCATCGTGTGCTCGCTGAATCGGATGATAACATTTTACGGAATTTACTCGTATACACTAAAGATTGAATGAAAATTTAATCGTAGCATTTTAATGTGTGCGTAGAGAGCTAAGAGAGTAGAATGAGGGCGAAGTGTAAACTTTGATCAACCAAACATGTATAATACATTTAGTATGCCGATGTTTACACATCAAACTTCTTTTTAAGGCGTTGCACATACATATAATATATTTTTCGTGTGCGTGTACTGCATAATAGACGGGCATTATATCCGGACTTTATTATACGTCTCAAGTACTTTGCGATTTTTTCCCGGGTATAACTTTAGTCCCTCTCTCGCTCTCCCTGGGTTTTGCTTTACCATGAACACTCACTATACAAACTATATTAATGATAAGCTCGAAAGAATCTTTAGAGCTCAATTTATTCTTGTCTCACATTATCTTATACCATTTTCTTTTATTTTCTATCTGTATTCTTTCATCATTGATGTAATGTTGTAACAGAGATTTTTTTACAATTTTCTTAAAAATTCATACTATTTTTTAATCGTTTTACTGTTCCTTTTTTGCTGTGTGTATGTTATGTTATTATTTGAAAGAATTATTTTTTAAATTAATGAATTCTCAAACAATAATGAGTTGATTATTTCCTCTTATTTCATATTGATATATTGCAACTGTCTTTTTAAATTGTACGTTCGTTTTTTAATCAATTTTATGACACTTTGTTTTTTTTTTTTTAATGAAACTAACAATATTTTATTTGTGATTCTGAGTAGCACATCATGTATTTCTATATAGTCGAATGAGTACAAATAATATTCACGACAAACTCATGCAAAACAGATACTTAATTATTTTAAGAGGAAAATTCAACTTTATGCATCTACTAGTTGGTACTGGTTTTCAGTTGAGTGAAGAGAGATTTTCCCTAGTCTCAATTTTAAATAGTTTTTAGATGAGAGAAAAACTTGACTTGACAACAAACGTCGAGTTGATTGAACTTATACCGAATGTATAAAGACTAATGCAAATTATTGAAAATTATTGATATTTAAGAACTCGCTGAAAGTTAACCAATTGCTCCGTTCCTTTTTATTGTCAGTCTGCTAAAAAAATTTTTACAAACATATGTAGGTGTTTACAAGCAGTAGCAGCAGCAGGACCAGTAGCTGTAGCAAAGAGGAAAGAGTCGATAATAGCGACGATAGTGTAAGTTGTCGTTGATAAACGATTTGTCATACGAGAGAAAACGATCGATGATCGCGTATGTATCGTGTGTGTTTTACTATACTGTTGCCTAGGTGAACCAGTTCGGTGGCAGTAGCCGCGATAGAAGCATCAGAGATTTGTCACCTGCTCCGTCTCTCTCTCTGTCTCTCTCTCTTTCTCTCTCACTCAGTGTGGTTCATACGTGTGAACCAACGCATTATTCAATCGATATTCGATGTGAGCATACTAGCTGACGTGGTGTTTATCACCACCATGCAGCTGCGTTGATAAGACTTATACGGCTTTTTCTTTGTTCTTCTTTATGTAGATGTCTCTACTCCCGTTATACTACCATGTGATGAAACTACTTATTATTACACTTATGTAGATGAACTTTCATAATGTACATAAATGTAGATTGTCAAAGTTGAATCAGTTCCAAATAGCGGAATTAAGCGTTATTCGAAGCAATCGTGTTTTTCTTAACTTAGACAATATATGTTCTTTTAAACTAAATATGTTACTTATACCTGTATATGTACGGCCGCTCGAGCCAACAATTCAATTACTCCCTTCGAAACAAAATAAAATTGGCAAACTACAAAAGCTCCGGGATTATGTTGGAGACTTCAGTGGAGCACGCAAAGAGAGATTGATATCGGATCACAAAAAAGTTGCAACATGATTTTTTCTTTGAAATTTAGAATTTCTTTAACCTAGGTGGGTTAGTGACATTGCATTTAACTGTTGGCATCAGCTTCTCTTGAGATTTCGAAGGACCAATTTCTTTTTCAAGAAGAACTTGGCATGCCTTAATATGCTCTCGTGTTCTCTAGTGTTGTTACTGAAGCATTTGCTCAATCTGATTACATCTATTGATTTGTTTGTATCAAATATAGACGTGCCTCGGTTGTATTTCTGCTCTGATAAAGAATGCAGCTCACATCATCGTTTTATTCCTACATAAAGTAAAATCGAAAATATATCATTAAACGAATATAATGAAAAGTTTGAGAGATTGAAAGTAAAAGAAAATAAAAAGCAGAAGATGAAGAAAGAAGTCATTTTATTTCGATATCATTTGTAACTGTGGTGCAGTAAAAGTGACTCATACAATTTTTATTAGAAGCTTATTAGAAGAATAGAAGGGCAGATAATGAGCTCGAAGAGGTTTAGTATTCTTGTTGTGAAGACTCTGCCACGTTTGAACAAGGATCTTTTTTTCGATCCATCAGTGAATCATTCAAATAAGGTTTAGTAGGTTTTCTCGTTTAAAAAGTGTCACGAGAGCCGCTAATCGATCACAATTCGAGATCGTAAACCCAAGAGATCGTAGAAACGTGCACTAATCAGCATTAAACCAAGCTAACGAGGCTACTCTGGCTGCAGAGCTATGCACCCGACACGTATCCATACTTGTGACTGAGCTAACTTTTCGTGAAAGAGTGAGTGAGAGAGAGAGAGAGAGAGAGAGAGCAATGATCTACTGCATCTAACGCCGCTGCATAGGAATGATAGCTGAGGTAGAACGACTTGAAGCTAGGGAGCTGCAGGAGAAAGGATGTATAGCTCGTTCCTATATGCGGGCGACACACTTTTGTCCTCGGTAATCCGAATAATGACGAGGCCTCGCGCCGCAAGCTTGCAATTAGCCGGTGGCTTGCATACTTGGTCGGGACCGCAATATGACCCTGCTGCTCTCTCTCTCTCTCTTACTGTGCATCGACCTCCACTCTCGCTCCTCCGCGCATATCCTCCTGCTCTTTATCACAGTTTCACTGTATGTCTCTTTATATAAACCTCTGTCTATACGTGT